AAACATGGTTGAAGAATTTTGATGATAATAAAGAATAGAATACAATTCTAACAACACATAATTAAGTTCATTATTTTAAAGACTCCGGACTTCATGTTTAAAGGTAAAAAAAAATTAATTTTGATACTAACAATGTAAAAACGCTCTATACTAACACTTAGCAATGTATTATTAATCATTTAATATGTTTGACGTTTCATATGGTTATTAAAATAGTTAAACTTAATAACTGGTATAGCAATATTTTTGGATGCAAGTTTGAAATTGATCTGGATAAATGTATAGGCCCATGAGATTTAAAACACGGAAAGGGTCCAAAAAGGCACAATGATCTCATTGCGCTGGACACATGTACCAAACATTGTGTGGACTATAATATTAAGCAACCTTATATAACGTAAAAGCTAAGGAAAGACTTTGCAACAAGCTGAGTTCCACCACATATAAGGATCAACACAAAGAAGACAGCTCCAGCTTGTCACCACTCTAGGAAAACAGGTTACTATATAGACTTATTTACCAAGGAAATAGTTAGAAAAGCTGCAACCCACAACCATGATAGTTAAAATCTTGATTTATCACTACAATTTTACGTTTTTATGATTTTTTTCATCAAAACAATTGTACAATATTCCAAATGCTTTTACGATTTTTTACGTTACGATTTTACATTTTACGATATTTTATCCCCCTTCCGAAATTATGTAAAATCTCAATTTTAACTACCATGCCCACAACAACCAATAAGAAGGTATGCCGCCTACCCAAGGCGACACATAGCTTGCTATAAATATGAAAGGTACAAACCCTGGTATGATGATCTGATTCCGATTCAATATAACAAATACCTAGCATTGACTGACTTGAGCGTTGGAGTGTCTTTGTAGTATCCCCGTCACCTCCATTGCGTAGGAATCATTCAGCAGTCCTTACACACAGGAATCATCTCAAACCCACTAATTATGAAATACAACCTATGATCTTCAATCTTCAACCGTGTATGATTTATTCAGTGGTGGACCTAGAAAATTATATGACGGGGGGCGAAAATTTATATTACTATTATGAAAAGGTAATGTCAATTTTGGTTGGATGATCACACTAAGAATATAAAAATACCTATTAGGAAGAACCTAATAAAATTATAGAATTTTTTGCCAATTTTTTGGTTGGAATGTCAAATTTTTGTTTCCGGTGACAGTGGTCCAACTCATCCTCTATTTCAATGAGGAACTAGCTTTAAGACCCTATATTTTGTTTGTAAGGTCAATTTTTTATTTTTTACCTTCATGCCTTCTGGTGTTATAATTGCACTTTCTTTGATTTCTTTATAATTTTATTTTCTCCCTCAGTTGTTATTTAGCAGAAGACACAGTAAATTAATTAATGTGTTATTTATTTTTAGCATTTGACCCCAACTAATAATTGATAACTATTACTGATATGACAATATGTACAAATTTTTAATGATTATAAAAAGAAAATTAGATAATCAATCAATATAAAATCAAATTCTAGATAAAGTTGACAGGTAGAGTGAATATGCATTACTAACTTAACTCTTCTTTGTATACAACGGAAAAGTCAACTTTCCACATTGATTTGGGAAAGTAGCAGACCAAGAACAAAACCTGCCATATATACTGGCAGGTTAAATATGGTAAATAATTGTTATAAAAAAAAAAAATATGGTAAATAATAATTATCTCTAATTGGGTGCAATGAATGAGTAGAACACTTTTTTTATGAATAACTTCGCTTGTTTATCACTTTTTAAAAACACTTTCAAAATTTTACTTTTTTAGACCATATTACATATCATATAGTAGAACATATTTTCATATTTTAGAGAGGAACGAGTGCTTACCCTAGCCCCATGTAGGTCCACCCCTGGATTTATCTCAACCCATCTTGGTCTGATCAGAAATGTTTTTATATTAACAACGCATTAAATAGTAAACACTTCCTTATATCTATTTGTAATGCCTCCAATGAAAAAGCTTTTTAAAATAATTCATAAAGTTTTTTTTTATACAAACCAGCTTAATCCTATTTGAGCGACCCATATCGAGATAGCAACTCTCCCGACATCGTTTAGAAAACTATAATTTAATAAAAGATTATTTAAAAAAAAAACTATTTAGAAAAGAATTGATGCATGCTTCATCCACTAAGTTTTTCATAGGTCCTTTAGATATCCTGAAGCTTTTCATATATTCTTTAGATCAAAATTTGAATTTTAATAAGTTAACGAGAGGATTGGCAATTCTCTAGTAATTTCCCTCTTTATAATATAGGTAATATGTGATCTAACTCTGACCCCTAATTGAGGTTAGTAGTCTTTTTTTCTTTCTTTTTTTGTAACCGAGGTTAGTGGTTTTTTCTAACCTTACAAGAAACATTTTTTCTACTTAGAGGTGTAAATGGACCGGGCTGGGCCGGGCTTAGGCCAGCTTTGACCTTCCTGACCTAAGTTTACGTAAAAAAATATACAGCCTATTTGGTCTATTGATCTACTAAAGACTTTATTTATAGGTCAAGTCTAGTCTATTTATAAAAATTAGAAAGCTTTATATGGCTTACAGGCCTTGTAGGCCTCCCTAGTGATATATTTTTAAATATTTTTAAAAAACAATTTAAAATATTTTTAACAATTTTTAAAATATTCGATTGACATTACAAGTCATTAACGTGTTCATAAATTGCTGCATTTTTTACACGAGATATAAATTTTACTAGTGAGCATTAAATAAAGCCACCTAAAATAAATATTTTATTTTATTTTATTTTAAAAAATTAAATAGGTCAGCCTACAAGACTTTAGGCCAGGCTTGATAAAATTGGTCTATGGCCTACTTGTTAAAAAGACTTTCTTATTAGCCTAAGTCTATTCTACTTTTCAACGTAGACCGGGCTAGGCCAGGCCAGCCAGACCCATTTACACACCTACTTTTACTGATATAAACTTTTATTTAAAAAATAAAATACATTTTAGCGCATTATGACCGATTGACCTCTGATTAAAATTTTAATTAATTAATGAGTACTCAGCTGCGCGCGTGCAACAAACTATGGTTAAGTGTTAAATTAAAAAAAAAAACTATGGTTAAGGGTTAATCAATTAACTGAACCCCAAGGAGCTCATAATCGATTATGTGACACTTATAATTGATTATGCACATTGTGTGAAGCACCAATTTGGTCCTGTAATCAATTATAGGATTTTTGTAATCAATTATAGTTTCTCGGGTAAACTTTTCTAAAAGAAAAAAAAATCAAATAAGTATTACTTGAAGTATGTATCGATTACATTGTTCTTAAATTATATACATTATATTGAAAAGATCTTGATCATCCATAATTTGTAACCATAAATCAACTGTAAGCATCATGTAACATGTAGCATAAAATTTTGATTTATTACTCTCTTTCTTGTATTTTATTTCTTATTTTTCTGTCTTATTACCTGTTTTCATATTCTTCAGTTGTCATAGTCTTTTAGTGTTAGTTTCAGGAAGTTGTTGCGGTAAGTAATAGAGGGGTAAGCACAAGTGAAAATATTTCTAATTTCGTGAAAGGGTTAAGTATGTCTTTTTAAATGATCTAAATTATGTATTACGGGTAGTATATAATTATAATATGAAAAAAAAAAATTTCTTTTCACGTCAGCTAAAATAATTAAGGAGAGAGAATTTTTTTCTTCATATTATAACTATATATTATTCATAATATGTAATATTAATCACAAAAATAAATAAATTTGTGTCCATTTAAACGAGAAACTTTTTTTCCTGTTAAAGGGAGTTAAAACGTAAGTGGCAAATGGTTTGGTCATTGGTGAATATAAGTGAAGGAGCATCCGCCAGCTAAAATATAGGAAATCTTTCTTTGTAAAGAACAAGAGATGGCTCGTTCACCACTCACCATATCAAAGTTCCCATATCCCTAGAACCAGCCACGTGTCCCTCCTCCCTACACACGTTAGAGTTCTAGACAACTCCATCAGAGAGACAAGTAGAATGGTAACAGCTAGCTTTCAATAAGTGATTATATTATTTGATCACAGTCATATGATGAGATAAGAAAAAAAATATATAATTTTTAAATAAATGATTATGATCAAATAATATGAACACATAATCATTTTTAAACATGAGAGGATCAAACTCCATTAAAGATAGAATAGATATGAAAAAATATTAACATAATTATTCCACCAAAGAAAGTGAAAAAGAAACAGTAGAAAAGGAAACCAATTAACAACCAACTATATATACACACACACAAAAGTGAGATAGACAAGTTCAATTGTTGAAGTACTTTCACAAAAAGAGAAAAACCTATACCCCTTCATTATCCCAACTTTCTTGCTCCAAAACAACCCATGACACAAAATGTATTATGATAAAATTTTCTTTATTCTATCCATAGATATCACAAAGTTTTTAGTCCAATGCATTGGTTATCAAAACAGCTAACAATACAAAAAATTATTCTGTGATTTAACCATTGTGTTGTAATGTTCTGTTTGTGGTGTAACTCAATATATATCAAACACAACCCAAAATAGTTCAAAAGTTACCGTTTATAAGGACCAAATCAATGTCACTAGTTGATAAAAAATTATAAGATTGAGAACCAATTTTATGTCATGGAAATGTGCACTGGGGTTTGCCCTTTTAGTGTCATGGAAATGTATAAAGGATCAAATCGGGGCTTACTTTCTTTAAAATATTTGATTAAGTTATTGTTATCCAAAATTTTACCTTTCCATCATACACATATCTAACACCCAAGTCATCCATCATCATTTTTCCATATGAATGAACATTGCTAGACTTATATTCAACTACTAATTAACTTGAAGGTGGAGTTTTACTTTTGAAATACTTCAAGAAGGCATTAAATTTAATGTTGCTTCCAATTACAGATACTGAAGAACCGATGATCATAGCTGGAGCAATTTCTGAATTACCATTTAATAAATATAAGCGTTGGCAATGGTAATTTCTGGTGGAAATAGTAAATGGATGGCTACTTTAGTCCAAACTGTTGCCTTCCCAGTCTTATACATTCCGTTCTATATAATTCCTTCACCTCTAGAGGCTCCAACTTCTTCTATTTCATCTTCCATCAAAATTCTAGCTTTGATATATTTTGTTTTGGGAGTCTTAATTGCTGCTGACAATATGATGTATTCCATTGGACTCTTATACCTCTCTGCTTCAACCTATTCATTGATTTGTGCATCCCAGTTAGCTTTTAATGCAGTTTTCTTAATATTTTATCAATTCTCAAAAGTTCACAGCTTTGATTGTAAATTCTTCAGTGGTTCTCTCTTTATCCACTTCACTCCTGAGTTGCTTATGTTTTGACTTTGGTTTGGACAACAGTAGCATGGCAGGTTTATTCTGTTGGTGTTGTTGGCTTGATTTTCCTAGTGTCTTCTCTCTACTCTAATGTTACCAGCACTGTCTCTTTGGCTGTAACTCCTATTGCTTCTGTTATAGTTTTGCATGATAATATGAATGGCGTGAAGATAATTTCTATGCTTTTGGCTCTCTGGGGTTTTGCCTCCTATATCTATCAGAATTACCTTGATGATTCAAGGGCAAGGAGTGCACAAGCTGTTGCTCCTTAGTCTAACAATGATTCTTCATGTTGAGAATTTTCAATATGGCAAGATCAAATAAATACCTTCAGCTAACTACCCTTTTCATTTTAGCTTTAAATCCTTCAGTGCGGCATCGACTAGCTCTAGATTTTATTTCTCCTTCAGTCTTGCTGAACTAGTGAGCTGTTATAGTTGAGATTGGTGGCCATTCTGGATATGTATCTGTATATTATTATGAAAAGATTGTTTGGGTCTTCAGACCTGGCTGATAGTCTGGTCTTTTGATTCCATATATTTGTTCACTGGCTTTTGTGATAAATTGAATAATCTCTGGGTGTTATTGGAACTTGGAAGTCTTGGAATTGTAGTTATTTAAAGTTTTCCTTGCTTTCATCTGTTTTTTTTTAAAATAAAAATAAATTTTAATCCTTTGCCAATGTAAAACTTAATAATGTGTTAATACATTATTACATAATAATGCTAAAAATTGCACCAGCTGTCCTTCAAATTTAAGCTCTATTCTTTTCATATCTATCTTTCTTTACTTTTGTAGAAATCTGTGATTAAGGCGTATAGATATTGGGAAATATGTTTCTTCAACCGCAGGAAAGAGAAATTATCTACCGCAGTCACATGCTTTTCAGAATACGGTTCCTAATAAACCTATGGTTTATCATGTTTTAAGACTCAATTATGTAGTGAAAACATAGTCAATTACATGTAAACTTAGGGTTTTGGTGAGAAAAGCTTAAAGATTGGATATTAAGCTAACGTATTGCTATTTTGTTCATTTTGAAGTTAATTGACAATAAATGGTGCTTAGAAGTGATAAGGAACTTAGAAAATGAAGTTGAAGCTCAAATCTAGTCAAATTGGAGCAAGATCAAGCAATCCAAGGTTCACGAGAGCGCGCTTGAGCGCGAGAAAGAACGGTCAAGCTCGCTAGGACAATAGAATTAGCCAAATCTAACCATCAAGAGCGCTCAAGCGTCCAACAGCGCACTCAAACGCTCTAAAGAAAGGAAAAATTCCTACTGAGGAGCCCGCTCGAGGGTCCAGATGAACGCTTGAGCGCGTTGAGGCAGAGGATTTCAGAAATTTTGAACGTGGAAGCGCACTTGAGCACCCAATGCGAGCCCAATCTACAGAATCTTGGATTAAAAAGATATGAGTAAGATTTGATAGAGAGTCATTGGGAGATTCTTTGGAGAATTAAAAGATATGTGTTCATGGTTATAAATAAGGAGCTTGGGGTCAATTGAAAGATCATCATTGAAAGGAGAAGCGTTTGAAGAATCAAGAAGAGGAATCTTGTTGCGGAGCACTGAAGCGGCAAGACAACGTTACATAAATGGAGTCTTGGGGAATTATTTTCTTTCCACTTGTTTTTGAATTCAATATGCTAGGCTAAGTTTTTATGTAGTTAGGGGAAGATAAAACTCAATTGAATCTTTGTTTTATGAATTAAATTGTCTCTGAATTCTTCTCTTTCTATATTTGAATGGATTTATCTGCTTTTAATGCTTTCTGTGAGTTTGCTCCTTATAGATTGATTTAGGAGAATTGTATGACAATAGGAATGTTGATGCATGAACCTTGATTTGATAAATTTATCATAATCCTTGTGATCTAGGGATAAACATAGGGCAATTGTGCAATTTTTAAGTTCTTGATCACAATGCGTGTTTTCTTGAGAAACAACTGAGGAACTAGGATTCTTTCGAGATCACATATAATTAGGGTAACAAGGAATTGAGCCTTAATTAACTTAGAAAGAATTGATTGACATTATTTTGAAAGTAAATTCTTGACTATTTGATTCATAGCATAAAGAGAAAATTGGAGAAAGTCGAAACCCTGACTACACTTGTTATTAATAATTAAACAACTCATCTTTTTAATTACCTTTTAATTTTGAATTTACATGTTATTGATTGTTTTAAATTTTAATTCTCTTCATCTCAATCTTGTTTGTCCAACTAAGCCGTAATTAGTGAACTAGTACTTGAAACCAATCCTCGTGAGAACGATCTCGTACCTGGTACACTTTATTACTTAACGACCGGTGCACTTGTCGAGTCGCAACAGTTCCGTATCCTGAAAAGCATGTGTCAGCTGCAAATAACTTCTCTACAGCTACAGGAGATTAATAGAATCCATAAATATTACTTTTCTAGTGGTTGCTCTGAATACCAGACCAAGTTCTCAAAATAAATATCTGATCTTAATTTTATTTCCTTACGTTCCTCTTCTTTTTTCTTTCCCCCTTCCATATCAATAGTATTTTTTTACAATAGCCCTATTTACTATAAGCAATGCTCAACCAGGTTCTGAAAATGCAAGATTAAATAAACATACTTCATGCAACAGCTGAAGATGCATCTAGCACGATAACAGGGAATAAATCTTTGGTACTACTGTTGTACTAAAGATTCAGTGCATCCCACCAATGAAAATATTACATGTAAGTTAAAATTCTTTTTTTTCTGTCAAAATTTTTCTCTCTCTTTTGATGTATAATGCTTTCATTGATGAGATGCACTGAATCTAGGTACAACAATAGTACCAAAGATTTATTCGATAACACGGGATATGTGTGTTATAAGTGTATATTTTTTTAAATAATTGTATTAGCTAAAATTGTTCATATAAATAAATTTCAATCTTCAGAATTTCCTATAACTCTTATTGGTAGATAACTTCCTGATCTGGAGGTAGTGGAGAATAATGTTGGTGTTACTGTTGGGCTCAATTGCGAGCCTTGCAGACTGTATCTAAGATGCTCCGGAAGGACTCAGTTTTGGGCTAAAATTTAGTGGTTTTGCAATGTTGGGTTTGTGCTTCTGTTTTTTTTTTTTTTTTTCTTTTCTTGCCATCTCATGTTCATCGAAATGTATAAGTAAAATAAAGTTAACTAGTTGACTATATTACATTGACACTTCAATAAATCTGATAAGTCATACGCTCCGACATTTAAAATATTTGAATTTTCATTACATATCATGAAAAAAATTGATCGATATTTTATTAACCTGATATAATAAAAATTTAAAATAAATATTAAATAAATCTCACTAGAGTGTATAAGATATTTTCAATTTAAAAATATAATAGCTAATATTTATATCTTATGTTGCTTTGCAAATTGATGGGTATTACAAGTTTAATTTTTTGTTTAATTATTGAATATTAAATATAATATACACTACATAAATTAAAATATCATTTAATATCAAAATATGTTGTAATGTGTCAAAACTTAATATTTTTTAGAATTAACATGTCGGAGTATCTTATCGTATTCCGTGTTTCGTCTCACTATTGGTGTAACATAGATTATTGACAAAAAGAAAAAGAAAAAGGGAGAATAGCATTTTTAGTAGCCATTTTATAAACATATTGCCATTTTAGGTGTCACTATTAATTTTAAAAAATGACGTCATTATACATGGTTAATTATATAATAGACCGATTTAATTAAATTATATTTTAAAAGGGAAACGAGTAAAAATGTCATTTTGCTGGCTGCGGAGGGGCGTGCGTGGCTGGCAAATAAATTTGGGTTTTCGGCAATTTAGAAAATATTGTGAGTCTAAGTCTAAGCATATTCCCACTACATTTGCCCCCTTTTGTTTCGATTCTCTTCTGGAAGCTTCGGCGTCGGCTACAGCGATGGCGTCGTTCGATGAAGCACCTCCCGGAAACTCTAAGGCTGGTGAGAAGATCTTCAAGATGAAGTGCGCTCAGTGCCACACCGCTGAAAAAGGTGCTGGCCACAAGCAAGGTATTTTCCATCACTTTTCTTTTTAATACCTTTTTTTATTTATTATTATTTGTTCTGTTTCTCCACTGCAACACTCAGATCTAGAAATCCTTTGCATCTACTTTAACTTTTGTTGATTTATTACTCTCTCTTTTTCTTCCTTATTGCGTGTTTTCATATTCAGTAGCACTTTCAGTCTAAGGATATGTGTAGAACTCAACCCTAGCAGTAGCTAAGGCTTAATTATTGTATTGTCGCAACTTAATTTAATTAAATGCTCAATTTTAAAAAATTACTATTAATTTTTATTAGGTTCTACTAAAAAGTTAAGACTGAATGCTGTCAGGTTTAGGATTTTAGTGGATTTGCGTATGCACTGCAATATCCTTATATTGATTGGTTCGTCATGCTGCACTATTGAATAAAACAATTTTGGAATTATTTAACCTATTTTTCCCTCACTGATAGGTTTCTCTCTTTTTTATTTTTCTTTGAATTAATTTTTTTTTTTAATTTTTATATTGTTATTATGCAATTTTTAGTATCTTTTGAATTTTGTTGATTGTCATAATTCAGGTCAAATAACCCTCGTGACATAAAAAAAATGTTTTTCTTATGTTGAGATTCTTTGATTTGTGAAATAACTCATATGATTAGTTTTGCCGCTTCCATTGTGCTACCATTCATCTGATCGTACTTTATTTAGGCTGTTATATCATTTAGTTTTTTGTTTCTTGTATTCCCTCCTTGAATAATGTGATTATGTAATATTCTAAAGATAAAGTGTTTGGCTTTCTTGTTGAAAATTTTAGGACCCAATCTGAATGGTTTGTTTGGAAGGCAATCTGGCACAACTCCCGGATATTCATATTCTGCAGCTAACAAGAACATGGCTGTGATTTGGGAGGAAAAGACCTTATATGATTACTTGCTTAATCCCAAAAAGGTACAGCATAAATTAGTATTTCAGTATTTCTGTATGGAAGTGTTTTATGTATTGAATGGATGTTAAACTATTAGTAATCATTGATCATTCAAGTGTGAAATCTACTGCACCAACCTGTGTAGTAATCATTTCATGCGACTTTATATAATTGTCATTTTGGGATTTAGTGTTTTCTACTATAGTCATGGTATTGTGCTGTTAAATTTTATGGTAATATTGCAAGGTGACTTTGAAAATCTGTTTACACCACAATGTTTACTGACTTGTGTTCTCTTTTTTCCTCTTGTGCAGTATATTCCTGGGACGAAGATGGTGTTTCCTGGTCTTAAGAAGCCTCAGGATCGTGCTGATCTTATTGCATATCTCAAAGAATCCACTGCATGATGATTAAATTTTCATACATTCAGTTATGCATTGTGCTTTTGAAGTTCTGGAGATTTAATTTTCAGATATTTGATTCTGTGGTGCAGTAAGTACTGTATCATGGCAAATAAAGTAGACTTGATTGGTTTGCAATGCTATTTTGTTCATTTTGCATTGCTTCTTGAGAGTTTGCCATATATTGGCTGGACTAATGCTCAATTAAATTAGCTGTTGAAAGTTGAAACATACTTATCAATATTTAGTTAATTGGAAGAACACTATAGTCTTTCTTTGCAGGGTATGTGGATTCACTAGTCTTGTTTTTCTTTTACTTTGGTTTGCTTGTTTGAATACAATACGGTGCAATTTTTTTATTTCAAAAAAGGTCTAAGTAGGGCATTGAGAAGGAGAGGGTAGGATAAAGTTCAAGCAAAGCGGCTATATTGATATTCAATCCTAGGATCAGGCAGCCCTAAAGAGACTTGGGCTGAACTATTCTTGCATTTTATTTCGTGTCCTTGCATTATATAGTCTGAATTAATGTACTTGGTCAATTAGTTTTCTATTGTCATATTTTGGAGGCATTTTCAATGAGAATTTTGATTAATGATTGAGTGACGAATGAAAGGGAATGGAGTATATATATTTAAGAATGGAAAACATGGGTAAGAGAAGTAGAGGATTGATTATTTCTCTTTGTTTGTAGTTAAAAATAATAATAATAAGGGGAAGGTAAATTTTTGTGTCCTATCTGAGAAATTGCATTTTAGGGGAAAGGGAATGGTTTCTCTCCTTGAGGGTAATTTCTATACAAGGAATGAAAGTTGTATTATCTCGTGTTTTGGATGGGTTCATTGAGTGCTTAGTCTTTGGTAGAACGATGAACGACAAGTATGTTTAGACTGGAATTTGGGATTGCATTAATAAGAGTGCAGTAGGAGGAAAAAGGCCAGAGTACCTTTTGATGCTGTTCTAGTTTTCTCGGGGAAGTGGCAAGCATCTTTATGGAGTGGGGAATGTCTGAGCTTTAGTCTATCTATAGCAAACAACAAAAGTTGAACTTTCAAGACATTTGATAATTAAAAAAATATTTTATTTATAGTAAAAAAATGTAAATTTAAGATAATAGGTATGAACCATTGGGATTTAAAACTGCTCCACTGGTATTTTTATTTTTTAAATTAGAGACAATCCTGTTTTTATGTAATAAAAACTTTTTTGAAGTGAGTTTGTTTGTAAAGCACATAAGAAAAGATATATTCATGCTTAAATTTTAATAAATTTATATCGTGATATATTTTAAATTAAAAATGATTATATCCTTAAATATTTTAAAAATAATTTTACTTAAAAGAGTTTCTTTCTATGTCTGTTTTATAAAGACAAACCAACTTGAAATTGTTATCATTTTCGCGTCAAGATGATCTTCACAGTAGCAGCCTATTATATTTCCTCTCTCTTATAAATACAAAGGTACAGCGCTCATCAACTTATATATATAAACACTGTTTAAATGACTCAAACTTCACGGTGGGAAATTATGTAAGTGCATGATTCTTATGTTCCAACGGAACATAATACGGGAACATAATCAAACATTGGTTCAGGTATCGCTAGTGAAAAATTATTATTGTCTAAGGATGAGTAGCTTTAAAAAGTATTGGAAAAAATTCATAAACTCCCTCGTGATTTATTCTTTTATCACTTACACCCTTATATATTTTTTCTTATCAATTACCCTTATGTGATTTTTTTCCATCCAAGTCCTCCTTTAATATTGTTCATAATTGAGTAACTTGTCCTTTTTACCTTGCTTGTGGAAAAGATATTGTTTCCATAATGCCGATGATGGAAATTGGCTCTGGCTATTGAGAATGCCTTGCTTGAGCTTGAACTATTTGAAGATTGTGAGACCTCATTTAAGAAACCCAGTCTATTGAACAAGCCGGAGAAAACTGCTACATTTTTCACGTAAATGGAGATAAGTTAGCTCATGTGCCGTGAAAGATTTCAATTATATTATGTTGACATTAATCTTTGATTTGAATTTGTTACCTCAAGTCGAAGTTGTGGATACTTTTGGCGTTATGTTGACATGCTGAAATAGGTAGTTAACAAATTTGGTCATACAAAGGTGAATAAATAGTTATGATTTGTTAACTACTTATTTCAAAAAAAAATTCTCTTTTCCTTTATTATCATTGATGCACCACCTTTATATGATTATGATTTTTCACATGAGCATATCATATTTTTTTTCACATGAGAATATCCACTCATCTCCAAAGCGAGTATCTAATGGGGCTTCTAAAAGAATCACACAATTGAACGATTGTGGATAATCAATGATTCCCCAACCATGGCTATAATTAGAGGATTTCCACTTTAATGTACACATTTAATTCTAATTGCATACTCCACCCTGATTAGGTGCACTTTAGGTTGAAAGTATACCATCCCCAATTTATCTAATGAACATCCACAATAACACTATTATCAACCACAGTACAAGAAGACCCTGGAGTGTACATTCAAACCGTTCAGGTATATATTTGTGTTCAAACCAGCAGCGATGTGTTTAAAATTTGTTGTATCTCTGTATTCATGTATTATATTCGTGTTTTATGTCATATCCGTGCGTCCTATATATTTCAATTAAATCTGAATATGCCCCAACCAAAGAAAAATAAGTTTGAAGAATTTTTCAGAATTTGAATTTATTCTTAATGCGTACCTTTGGCGTTAAGTTTGCACTGACAGTTGCTTGTTTGCAACTATGATAAACTTCACAGTTGGGATACTTTTTATACAATTGTATGTTTATCAACAAGTATACTTTTGAAGTGTTTAGTGATAACTTCTGGCAATGGTGAGGAATGTACAAGATATGATTGAGATGTTTGGCTTCCCATATAGGGAGAATTTGTTTTCCTATAAATATAAACAAAAAATAATCAGTAGCTTCTACATTTTTCTTTGTGCAGATTTAAATTTATGGGGAAATTGTTTGGGAGACATGTTCCAAGCCAGCCCCAGGTAAGCATTTGATTATCAGAACAGGTACAGAAGCTTGATTTGGTCCTAAACATAGAATGAACCTTGCTTTTATTCCAAAATCTACAAATTATAGAGTTACACCTTTACTTATATTTCCCCGGAGATGAAAAGTCTTCTCTTTCGATTCCCTTTTGACTAAACACTCTGCATTAAATCTTGATTAGCAAGGCCAGGGATGAAGGCAATTCTTGTACATGCAACTTTACTCTTACATATTTACAAAAAGACTAATTCCGGATTCAAACTCATGACCTTTCAGTTACAAAGGAGCAATTTTGCACTACTCTAGGCTTGCCCTTTTTTCGATTTCTTTTGACTGCCACTTCAAATACAATTTTATTGTATGGTCTTATTTATGCTTCGGATCCCTCACTCGCTCAGTGGTTGATCTCTAAAATATTTACAGAACTCTGAAGTAGACTTCCACCACACACATCAACACACAAGGGAGGGAGAACAAAGAAATTAGAACAAATTAAGATTTATAGTTTATAACAAAGCCAACTATATATAATGGGCATCCATCATTGATGATATTAAATTGATGTTTCAATATTGATCGCACACAACTGGATCTGGACCACAAAACCTATATATAACACTAACATTTATTTTAGGACCATAAGGTAAGAGATACTTACATATTAAAATTGATTACATAACCTATTATATCTGATATACCTTTTCAACCAGTTTGCTCTCGAGCTACAATAAGTTCTTCTAAGTTATCAGTATCACCAGTATCTGTAGGCATCATAATCTCATCCTCAATTGTGAAATTATATCTACTCCCAATAGCTCTTAGAAGCTGGTATACTTCAAACATAGTGGGCCTCTCCTTTGGAGTTTCTGTAACACAGTTGCATGCAACCTTTAGAAATTGGAAAAGCTCATGATCAACACCCTTCCCAACTAGTGATTCATCAATGGCATCCTGAAGTTTTGAATTGCTAGAGAACTGTGTAATCCATTCTACCAAATTTCCTTTAAAAGTTTCCGGAGCTTTAGCCACATGGGTAGGTCTTTCACCTGTCACCAACTCAAGAAGCACAGTCCCAAAGCTATAAACATCCCCTTTAGGTGTAGCCATCAAAGTTTTTGCATACTCAGGAGCAACATAACCTAAATCCCCAAACTCCCCATTCACAAAAGTACTCAAATGTGTATCAATTGGGTTCATCAATCTAGCAAGGCCAAAATCAGAAATTCTGGGCTCAAAATCTACGTCCAACAGGATGCATTTAGAGCTTATGTTTCGGTGGATGATGCGGGGATTGCAGCTATGATGAAGCCATGCTAATCCTCTTGCTGCTCCAATTGCAACTTTGAGCCTTAGAGACCAGTCCATGGTGCTCCCACCATCAGCAGGATGTAGTTGATCATGTAGGGTACCATTTGGCATATTTTTATAGACCAGAAGCCTCTCCTTTTTGGCCATGCAAAAACCTAAAAGGGGAACCAAGTTACGATGTCTGACAGTCCCTAGCGTTCCCATCTCAGACAGAAATTCTTTCTCTGTGTGTTGTTGAGATTCCTGCAATCTCTTGACCATGAGCGATGTGCCGTCATGAAGGACAGCTTTGTAAATAGTTCCTGATCTTCCAGACCCAATAATATTGCTTTTACTGAAGTTACTAGTAGCCTTCATGAGATCCTTCAAGTTCATTTTTGAAATTGACTTCTCAAACATAGAAACCTGATGTACAAAATTAAGCACAGTTAGCCAGAAAATACATTGTTTACTTTGTAATGTCTGTTGTAGAAAATGTATGTATCATTTGTGTGTTGGGGGCAGAAAATACATTGTTTTCCTGTCTTTGGCACAGCAGTAAGTAAAAGATTTTTTCAGAGTTGATATAATAAAAAAATTCATGAAGAAATATTATTTATTAAAAAAAAATATGTAACAATTGAAAATATTATAAAAAAAAAAGAAGAAAATTTGCAATAAAAATGTTACCCAAGAAATTATTTTCTATTCAAGATGTTTTTCCATAATTAAACAATTTGCAATATGATCACATATGTAATAAGCCATGCATCAATATAGCTTGCCTTTATTGCTTTGGTTCCCTTAAGACTTCTTGCCCACTTGTTTCCTTCAGGGTCCTCTTCCTTTTTCTTATAAGACATGCGCCGCACATAGAAGAACAATCCAATACCCAATCCTAATGCTGCAGCAGTGACACCACCAACAGCTGCTCCAGCTATAACTGCAGTGTTAGTCTTGGAAGCTATGGCCTGGCATTGCTCCAAGGGGACACCACAGAGGCCTGAATTATTTGCATAACTGTCTGCTGTAACAATACCATTTCTAAAGGCTGGAACTTGCCCTGTCAAAAGATTGTTGGAGACACTAAATGACTTAAGCCTTTGGAGCAAAGCCAATTCAGCAGGAATATGACCTGTGAGTTGGTTTTGATCAAGTTTAAGACTATTAAGATAAGTACAGTTTGCAAGGGACAAAGGGATATCCCCAGTAAAATCATTTGATGATAGATCAAGAGTTGTCACAAACTTAAGAAGGGTAGATATATCTTGTGGAATGGTTTGAGAGAGTCTGTTAATTGAAAGATCTAATCCTGTCAAGCTTGAGCAATTCTGAATGCTGCGAGGAAACTGTCCCTTTAGTCCCATGTTTGACAGTTTGAGATTTAAGACTCTATTTTCATCAGGATGCCAACATTCTACCCCAGTAAATTTGCATATATATCCTTCTGTTTTGTTGTTGAAATCCCATGATTGCAAATAATTGTAGGGGTCTTGAAGTGAATTCTTCACATTTTTCAAGCAGAAGATATCAGTCTCAGTCCCATAGGTCATGCCACAATTAATCAGCAGAAACAAACTAACAACAACACTAGCAATGAAAATTCGGCTACTCAGAACCATCTTCACCAACATCTCAAACAAAATCAAAGAAGAAGTAATCCAAATACTTTACCCAAATTGGTATCTAATGCAAGCCACAGCATAAAACATAAAGTCCATACCCCTGCAAAAAAAAAAAAAAAAAAAAAATCAACTCATCAAAACAGAGAAAAACAAAATTAAAAAAAAAAAGGCATCAAGTATTTCCTTTCAAACGAAAATTCACAGTGTAAACCAAAGACTACTTCACAGATATGAAAAAAGAAAATATTACCAAAAAAAAAAAAAAAAACTCAGATACCCAGTAAAGTTTACTTTGATATAACTCAATACAAGCATAAACTGAATCAACCCAGATTCAAAAACACATGAATTTTGCACAAGGGTACTCAAATACCCACCTGGGTTATTGGAAAACCCAGCTCAGGAAATAACATGGAAACATCACTGTGCTCAAAAGAAAGGGCAAAGCTTGGTAAATTGCAGAAAAGGAAGACTAGAACTACAATGATGGAAAAAAAGAGAGTGATAGAAGAATTGCGAAGAAGGAAGAAAGCAGAAAAGAGAAGATATTCACCAGTCAAACAAGTAACACACCATAGCCAAAGTTTTATTTTTTGTTTCCAAATACAGAGAAGACTAAGACTGTGAAGGAAAGCGAAGACTTTAAACAAGTTTCTTTTGACTACCTGACTCGCTTTTGCTGAGAATTTGCAGATAACTTAACTTTTTTTTGGGTTTAAACTTCTATTTTTATCATATTTATATGGATTTAGTGTTTTTCAGTTTAAATGACATAATTTTGTGTTATTTTTAATGAAATTATGTCGTTTTGATGTATTTTGTCATTTTTTTTAATTTATGAAATTAGAAATAAAAAGAAAATGGATGAGAGAGAATGTTAAAAACACACTAAAACGACGTAGCTTCATTAAAAATGACATAATTTTGTGTCATTTAAAATGACAAACATTTTTCCCTATTTATATATGAGTTTTATATTTCTCAATAATTTTTTTTTTTTTTTTTTATAACTTCTCAATAAATTTTTTTATACACTCTTTAATTTCTTTATTGATATGGTTTTACGTATCATTTTTTTCTAATATATAAATCTCACATAATTTTTGTCTTTACCACATAAAAACGTTCATTTTCATATAACATAAGAAGTATAAAACTTTTTATATATAAATAATTTTATCTTTAATAGTAAGAGAAACAAATATAAACCATTATATTTTACAGAAATGAGTAACATTAAAATATGAAGTGATGTAATATTTTGTAACTGATTTTATCATTTTTAAATAAGTTTTATTTTGATAACAGAAAACCGTGACGTCAATATTAATTCCTCACACATCACTCTTCTTTATTTAGATATTTTATTTAAATATTATTTATCAATACTTGATTAGTTCGATTTAAGCTGTAAGACCACGTAGGCGATCAAATTCTCACTATACTAGGTTTTAACACATGCTTTGCAAGGAACTCGAATTCGAAATTACATATTATCAAATGTCACTCTTCTTTATATAAATGAATAAGATTAAATAATAAAATCTTGTAATATTTTTAACTTTTTTTTTACCCTTAAATAATTTATAATTATTGATCACGGAATATTGTAATTTGTAATGTCAATTTTAACTCCTATCTCATAATTTATTTTTATATAATTTTATCGTTACATTTTAATAATAAGATAAACAAATATAAACCATTATATTTTACTCATTTATTTTACATAAATGAGTAAAATATAAAGTAATGTAATATTTTGTAACTGATTTTGTCTCTTTAAATAAATTTTATTTTGATAACACAAAGTCGTTACGTCAATATTAACTCCTCACACGTCACCCTTCTTTACATAAATGAATAAGATTAAATAATAAATTTTTTTAATATTTTTAACTGATTGTTTTACCCTAAAAAAAATTTAATTGTTGATCGCATAAAGTTGTAATTTGTAATGTCAATATCCACTTCTCTCACGTTATTCATTTTTATACAATTTTATCATTACATTTCCTACATTTTAATAGTACAAGAAACAAATGTGAACCGTTATATTTTACATAAACGAGTAAGATTAAAACATAAAGTGATGTAATATTTTTGTAACTAATTTATCTGTAAAATAACTTTTATTTTCATCACATAAATATTAACTCCTCACCCATCACTTTTCTTTATTTGGATATTATTTATCAGTTTATCAATTATTTAATTAATTCATTTCGAGCTGAGTAAAATTGCGTGGGCTGCAAAACTATCTATCAATTTTTAACATAAATGTCTTCCCAAGAATTCGAATTCAAAACCATTGATTATCATTTGTCACTCTTCCCTATATAAATGAATAAGATTAAATAATAAAGTCTTGTAATGCTTTTAACTGATTTTTTTACCCTTAAATAATTTTTAATTATTGATCACAGTAATTTGTAATATCAATATTCACTCCTCTAGCATTATTTATTTTTACATAATTTTATCATTACATTTTAATTGTAAGAGAAACAAATAAAACCATTATATTTTATATAAATGAGTAAAATATAAAGTGAATTAATATTTTGTAACTGATTTTGTCTCTTTAAATAACTTTTATTTTGATAACGCAAAGTCATGACGTCAATATTAACTCTTCACACGTCACTCTTCTTTATGTAAATGAATAAGATTAAATAATAAAGTTGTGTAATTTTTAACTGATTTTTTTTGCGGGATAGGTTATTCTAATATTGTTAGATTAGAATATTAATAGAAGAGATAAATAATAAATGTAGTTGAGATTCTGATTTGACAGTGTTAGAAAATGGTATGCAAAAATAGACAAAAAAATAGTAGGTAGAATAATCTATTCTTTTTTACCCTTAAATTATTTTCCATTATTGATCACGTAAAATTATAATTTGTAATGTCAATATTCACTCCTCTTACGTTATTTATTTTTATTTAATTTAATCATTTGATAGTAAGAGAAACGAATATGAACCATTATATTTAACATAAATGAGTAAGATTAAAATATAAAGTGATGTAATATTTTGTAACTGATTTTGTCATCTTTAAATAACTTTTATTTTCATCACGTCAATATTTACTCCTTACACGTCAAACTACTTTAATTGGATATTATTCATCGGTTCATCGATTATTTGATTAGTCCAATTCGAGCATAGTAAGATCATATAGGCAGCAAAGTTTTTCCTATTAGGTTGTGTTTGGTTCAAGAGATCTGTGAAGATGCCCAGTAAACCATAAGTGGGAATAAGTGTTTGCTTCGTTTGGTTGAGGAGAACCAAAAATAAACCCACTTTTCAGGGTTGCCTAGCCATCTCTTTCGCGTGCAAAAAGGAAGCAAAGTTACTGTGTGATATGTCCAATCTTAACGTGGTATTTGAAGATGCATAGCGAGATAGCAAAGAGTGGTGTAATTTTGTGACAAAACTACCCCGTTAGCAAAGTACACACACAACTACTCCCATTGAGGTTCTCCACTGCAGCAACCTTCTCTTCCTCTACACGTTTAAGTTCATCTTCAACTGATGAAAGATCTGTATTCCATTGTACTGTTGTAAGCTTGTTATGTAATATTGTAACAAATTAACAGTCCAACTGCTATTCTAACAATAAACAAAAAGGGTTTTCAGGGAGGGGGGAAGGAAACCTCCTAGCAGTAGTTGCTTCCAGTCCTCACATTCCTACAGCCTCTCAGGTACAAACCAGAAGCAAGCATAGAAGCCAATAGTTCCCATCAAAGACCAGGGGTACTGATATACCAAACTATAAGAAAACTAGAGCAAACATTGTTCCAAAAGGGACTGCCCCTCCCAGATTAAAGCATTCAAATGAGAGAGAGAGTCTACGGTGAGTGTTATGGAGATGTTGAAATTGTTGAAGAACGAAAAGCGTTTTGTAACAACAGCAAAATTTAAAATAAAGGTTATTTTAGTCATTAATATCAACTTTCCCATCAATATTTTACTTTCAACCAAACATGAACTCATATAATCTTACTTAATTTTCCCAGTAATTTTTTGGTCAACCAAACAGATATTTTTAAACTTTCCTATCAAACTCACTTTCCAACCATTTCCCTATCAATTACATTTCTCTAGTATTCAAAAAATATCTCTTCAACCAAACGTCTCCTTAAGTTTTAACACAAATGCGTTCTCAAGTACTTGAATTTGAAACCATTGGTTATATTAGAACTTGGTTTGAATAAAAAATATTCGTGGAACCAAATTTGAATTATCCACTTTGCTGATTTATTCGAGTGACCGGGTCATTCACTCGAGTAAATGATGATCAATGTGATTAAATAACGACAGATTAATATATAATTTTAATAAAAGGTTAAAAGTAATATATAGTTTTAAAAGGAAGCAAAGTGGCAAAAAAAAATTCAAATACAGTGTCACAATGGTCAATCATCCCAACAAAGAATGCATTTCTTATCCATGATCAGTACGTTTGTTATATATTCTGAATAATTATTGATTTTCTTTTTCGGTAAGAAACACCTTACTTTTGTAATGGGATCAAGGGATGACTCTTTGTAACAATGGATTTAAGATTTTTTAGGATGGGGAGACAACAATAAAACATCAAAATTTTAAGTGTTATTAAAATTAACACAAGGGGTTAACTATTATAAATATTTTTTATGGAGGGGCTAACTATTAATATTAATAATTTATTATTATTAGGAAAATATCATTTTATATATATAATGAGAGAGAAAAAAATCAAATTTTAAGGAAAGACAACTCCACTTTATTTCCCCTCCCCTCTGTTTGTCCTTGACCCATAAATATAATACCTCGTAGTACTCCGGTTGTTAATATCATGATATTATAGCGTACTCGGCGGAAGATTTTATTTAAAGATTAATAAAATGTCTCGTAAAAATACGAATAAATTTTTTCCAAAACATTTTGTGAAAACATTTCTAAAAATGTTCACGTGAGATACTGTGAAAGCGTAAATCTAAAACATACATCTACTAATTAATCTCATTAGCCAGTATTAGTGGCCGTTGACCATCCTGATATAACATCAAGTGTCATTCCTGACGGAGTCTCACAAACAGCATAACGGTTGTATTTCGGATAACTGGGAACATGACCTCACACATACAGTTGACCTGCTAATTATAATTTTAAACAGACAGCTCGCAAGACTCACAAGGACTGCGATCCCCTCTCGGGTCAGTACAAACAATAAGGCTCCATGCCCAAATTAACTGAATGCATACATCAAGTCTATATTAATTCTAAGATATAAAAACATCAATAAATAATTCATGGCTCTAAGGATACAATCATGAGTCTAAATAAATACATAACATAATCTCCAAATAACAATAATTAAACATGTTAACAAATCTACATGCCATCATATAGTCTAAACATAATATAAAATAATCAGCTGCATCATCAACTACTCTAATGCGTTAGAACACAAGAGAAAAAGTGATGGATATGGATGGAATAAGAGCAAGAGTACATTAGAAATATAGGCCACACACTGGAGAAAGAATTGTGAATATATAACGCGCATGGTACGATTTAGCATAAAGAACTGAATAGAACTGGATTAGTCTTTGTAAAACTGGTTTTGTTTTTTACTCAA